ATAAATAAGAATTTGTATTAAAGGAAACCGTTATATATAAGACAACTCCTATAACCAAAGAAACTTTGGTTATAGCCAAGGCAAACAAAGGTGGCAAAATGGAAAGAAAGTTGCAGCTTCCCATGGGGTAAGTTGCAGCCTCTCCTTAATCTATCTTGAAGACAAAACTGAGCTCTGCTTTCTTCTCAGCTAAGGGTCACCTTGTCCACCTCCCCCCATCCTTGTAGGTATACAAGGTACAAAATGGAGGGCTACATGCACCCCATAAGCCACAAATTTGAGACCTTTTATCTAGGTCATTCCTAACAATAATGATGTGGGTCTTTACTGAATTAAAATGGATGTGTCTATTTCTACATAAGATCTGAAACATTTCCCCCCCATTATAATTGCCTGATAAAACAAGTGATTTTACTACAGATCACACTGTAAGCTACATCTTAAAAAACAATTTGTAGGATTACAAAACAAATATTTTACAGGGTGGATGAGAATCTTATTTTACCTCAGGAGAATCATTCTCCACCGAGGAGATTTGTTCTAAACGTGTTTGACAGAGCTTTTCCACCCAATGCTGAGTCTTTTCTGATTCTTCTAAATCTTCTCGTTCAGTCTCAGACACCTGAGAGTTGCACCATAATTTTAGGAGAAAATTTAAAGTTTGCATTTATAGATTTATATTCAAAGGCACACTTGAAATATATTTTGGCAATAAAATATTGTGTGCAGATCTAAATATTTTTTGCAATTCATCTACTGCAATCTTAGCAAATTCCTGAACATGTCTTCATCCTGTGATAAAATTGGCTGATTTACCCACACTGATTCCCAGATTCTAATTGATTCACTTATCTCAATAAGGCTTGATGAAATAAACGGGGTTATATATGAGTTGCATTGCCAATTTTTTTTTATCATTCAGTGATTTGCAACTGAATATCTGTAAAAATCTGGCATTTTCTGGAACTCTTCCAGTCTCATGTCATTAATTATCGTTGGGGCAGATGGAAATACAGTAGAAACCCCAAATATATGGCAGATGCCTGGTTGCTTGGTATAAACAACTGTTAACGGCTCCCCCATCCACACACTATTTTAGAGGTGATATTAAAGTTTTAGCTCTGTCTATTTCACACATATAAGTCCTTGCCCTCCCCCCCACCTGTCCATGTCGAGCCCAGAGGGCTTGACAAGTCATCCTTGGATCACATTTATCAAATATTGACCATATATATGAGTATAGTCTCCACTGACCATTCTACTAATTCCTGTGGTAACAAAGTGTCAAACGCAAGAACAAGGATTCTCCAATTCTCCAAGTATTTATTCCTAGAGAACATAAAAGCATGACTAGTTAAGTCTGCTCACTTATTCTTCCCGTTTGGAGATAACCCATGCTATTATATGTGAAAAAAGCAGTATCAGTTTGAAGTATATAAGAAAGGCATGGGGGAATCCATTTTCAGAATAGAATATATATGGCCGTCATGTTCACACAGAATGGCTGACTTATTTAATAAGCTGTCCCTCAAATTAATGGTCATCGGTTCAAACAATACACTAATGAATGGTTGTTAGGAGGAAGACCAGGAGACAGTCACTACATTTTTCTTGGCTAAACAAACCAAAATCTCTGGAATGGTACAATCACATTTGGTGGCATCATGTCAGATATGGAGGGATTTGCTATTCTACTCTTTTGTACCTCTTTTTATCTCAAATAGCAACAGGTACCTACGTGTGAAAACTGAAATGGTAATGGTGAGTTCCTATAGTAGCCCTGATTTTCCTAAGTCTCTCCTTCATTCATATGGACACAGGATGACTGTTGGAAAGAGGGAAAAGCAATGCTTGCTGATTTTCCTATTCATCTGAACATCTGGAAAGGGAGAGTTTTACTCCCTATTGTCATGGAATCTCTCCACTTTACCAAAGTCTTTTGATATACAACACCAAAAAAATTGTACCATGTTATTCTATACATCCGCTCGCAAGTATGGAAAGATGAGTTGGTCTTCCAATAAATCTAAATGCCAAATCAAATACATTTCAGAACCACATTACTTTAATCATCTAAGGAATTGGTTCACCTTTACATATAGGGTTTGAATTATACTGTGATATTATGTTGATAATCTACAGCTTTTAACTCATGTTTTCCATGCTTTGATAGCTAAGTCAGGTTAGTTAATATTCAACCTCAATAATGCATTTAAGTATACACATGTTCTAAATACCCAGGAGCATGCATGTTTTTCACTCTTTTCATATGAGAAAGAAAGGTATACAGATCACCAAAGAACATACCTCTTGAACCAGTCGGCTGATTTTCAATTGTTTTTCTCTTTGCAACTTCTCTTCTTTTTCCTTGAGAAGTTTTAGCTCAAATTCCAGTTGCATTTTGCTTTTTTTCTGTTCATTAAGACTGTCACTTTTTGCTTTTTTTCTTTCTTTACCTTTCTGGATTTTGTTATATTAATATTAATTATACATGTATATTACTAATGTGCCAGAGTTTCTCCTAGATAACTGACACAATCATCCAGTTACTATAGCAAGGCATAAAAACCAACCTCATAATGAGTAAAATGAGCATGAAATTACCAGGCATGGAGGGAAAGCTAGAGATAACGAGATTCAGGCAGAATCCTTCTCCTTCATGCATACCTGTTATAAATTTCCCTCTACACTGATTTGAAAAAATTATCCCAAAGATCTACAGTTTTGCATGCTTTTAAGGAACAGGTCCTCATATAAGTAATGGAAGCATTCTGTCAGGCAATATAATGCACAATGCAAAATGATAAAGCCATAAATTGCACAAAGATCAAAACCAAAATTAAACAACACACCAAAACCCTTCAGTGGCAAACAAACTACTTATTTGGAATTTCACTGAACTGCTTAAATGTCTCAGTTTGATAATCTTAATATGAGTTAATAAAAGCCATTGCTTTTAATGGACTTAATGGAATTAGCTTCCTGGGAAGCAATGTCTATGATCTTAAAGAGGAAAGAATATTTGCAGAGATAAGCCACTTAGCGTCAGATGACTGAAATGGCATAAACCAATAGGGTTTACTTCCAAATAAGAGTATCTGCATTATTTACAGTTCCGCACACCACAAAGCAGAAAGTATTTGAGTAGATATAAAGTATACTAGAAGATAGTAAGATAGTGGTTTTTTTATTCACACAGAGGAGTGAATAAAGCCTGCCCTCCTTTAACATCCCCTTGCATTATTAAAAACCTATTCTTGAGGACTAAGATTCTGCCAATTAACATGGGAGAAAGAAAGGGAAGGAAGTTAAGGAATAATTGTCTCTGTTTGGGACAGGCACCTATGCAAGGACAGAAATGCTTTTCTACACAACAGGGCTTGATATAAGTTATTCTAATACATGCAGGCCTTTCCTTTCTTTCCTGCTTATCAAGAGATATGTTTGACTACAGGAAAATGCACACGGGTTCAGATGCAATGATCACAGCAAACTTTTCAAAATGTTTAGTATTTTTCTACCTTGCGAATAGTAGGAAATTTTCCCTCATACCGATAAAACCATCCAAAAGCTATATGTATGCAAAGGAGAACAATGAATTATAGATATTTGTATCAGCATATTACAACATATAACTCACATAAAACGATGAAAATTACAGTAATGGAAACAGAGTACATTTTTATCTTAATTTTGAAACAGCTATAAATAATAGGCGGAAGTCTCTTCTTCAGATTATGATAATTCTAGCCACTTCACTTTCACAATCACTTTGTACACAAGGAACTTTCATTTTTATTCACTTTCGTGACTATTTTGATACATGTGCTGTAATCCAAGTATCATAACGTAATTTTTTAGAAGCATAGTGCATGATACTGTCTAACTAAAAGCTTTACTAGTTATATTGATACAGAGCATTTGTTTAGAGTTGCTTTTAGCTGGTGTGCAGAGAAATTATACCTACTGGAACTTTGTTCCCAACAATATATAAAATACTAATTTTGAAAATTAAAAGAAATATGATCTTATTATGGGATGATAACCCAACATGCTTCTTTCTATCAATAGCAGGAAAAATTCAACTGTTATTTTTCCACACAAAATTGCACTGAATATTCATTTGTTTTTTTAATGGAAAAATACATGAACCTGTCATATCATTGATGATATGGAAAAGAATTACTATTTATACATAAGGTATATTAAGATTATTGGTATTTTACCAGTTTTATATCAGCTCAATACAAAAATGCTACTTTTTTCAAAATTAAAATGGTATTTATACAATATAAAGCATGGTATAATTTAGTAAGACATCTCCATGTGTTCAAATATCTTCCAACCCTTTAAAGACCACACTATAGTATATGTCTTCAGTTCTAGATGTTCAGCTTATAATTAAATTACAGTTTTATACTTGGCTAGTCACTTGGATATAAAGAAAAAAAGGCTTGGATTTATTCCTTGGATACCAGGACCAAAATCAAACTTGTTAATTAAGAAGAATATTTAATTTTTGTTTTTTCCCCAGAAATCTTTTTGATAGCACTCAAAAGCTCATTTTTAAGTAGAATTGGTTGAATAAAACCTTTCATTTTTACAAGTTCTTCCTAGCTTCTGTGGGTCTTTTCTATTATGATTTACAGTAATTGTTAAAGGAAATTAAGGAAATTAAGTAGAATCATACAGACAAAAGGCACTGTCTTATTATGTAATGACAGAAATCGCTTCATTTGTACTATTCCTTGATCCCAGCTCTGTTTTCATAACATACAAAGATCCCATGCATGGCCATTTCATGTTTTCCTCTTGGCTTGAAAAAATCATACAAAGTTATGTTGGCTAGCACAGCAAATGAATATGAATGCTTTTCTTAATGTGAGAATTACAGGAAATCCCAAAGAGTGTAGTGCACTCCAATTTTAAGAATGACTGTCAGCAAGAGGGACAGTGCAGGCAGTAAGAAAGTCAAGAGAAGTCAAGGTGCTACAGCAAACCTGTTGGCTTTCCTCCAGCTTCAATCCAGTTGTATCATTTGATGTGGACTGATCAAATGCAGTTTCCTCTACATCTACTTGAGAAACAAAGGAAGGAAGAAAGAAAGAAGAAATGACAATTCTTTGGCAGGAGGGTGGTTCTCATGAAAGAATTAAAATCAAAAAGTCTGTGAAGAAAGAAAGCACATCTAGGAATAAGATGAGTTCTGTATTCTTTCATGCTTTAGTTCTATAAACTGATGCTCTGCTCTGGGTGGCCAAGCAGTGCTCCTATAAATTGATCTGAAATACCAAAGAATAGTACAATAGCAGTTAAAATGAGTCTACTGTATGAACCCAGAAATATGGATTTCTGGAAACTATTTCCTACTGAAAAGAAAAAGGAGCACTCATTCTTCCTTCCTTCATTGTATTTTTTTGTTTTCCTCTGGGAAATCCTTCAGAATGCATAGCATTTAATCAAAGTAACAGAGAGTGAGAGAGAAGAAAAATCAATAACTGTTCTAGAGATTCACTTCCCCAGCTCCAATCTCTGGCTTCTCCCCATGCCTACGGTTTGAAAAATGCACTGTGCTGGAATTAATGAAACATATTTCTTACACATAAGAATAAAACTTCTTACTTACATCGATGTTTAGGACGAGGTGGAGAATGTACTTCTGCCACTACAGTTTTGGCAGCCTTTAGTGGCTCTTTATGACCCCAATCCTCCTCCCACTGCTTTTTGAATTTATCTTCCTCTGCCTTTATCCTAAAAAAGAGGAAAATATTGCTCCTTAGCAGGACCACCTTAGTCTATTTAATCTTAAGATTAAATATAGCCTAGACTTAGATATTAGTCAGTCTCTGGACAAGAAACCAAATGGAAGCATTCTTTGTTTTACTGTAAACTACCAGAAGATTTTACTGAGAACAGTCCCTCACTTCCATCTCAGATCCAATCTTGGTAATGTTGCTCTGCCAAAATAAATTCCCACAAATTCTCAGAAGAGGCTCTCTGCAGTGCAGAGAATGTTAGACTGCAGTGAAAATCACAATCCTGTAATTTGAGATGAAGAACAATCCCATATGTCCCTCTACAGAGCAGCTTAGGATCTATAGAAGTGGCCAAAGGTAGATATTTCCTAAGCACATTTCCTTACTCTGCCAAGATCCCAATGTGGATCCAACATACTCAGGAGACTAATTTATGAAGAGAGAAAAAATATATGTGGCTGACGTTTTCTTCCTCAAAACTAATCATTACTGTGAAATATCTGTCACAGTAATGCTGCAATTCTGCAGAGGGCATTTTTTAAATGGATTACAGTGTCTAGGAAAGAAAATTTTACCCTTCTCTTATCTCCTTCCCCTTAAACAATTCTTATAACTATCATTATACCTATTTACCCAATTTTAATCCATTTTAATTAATTTTGAAAAGCATCACTTTTTACACCATTATTACTCTGTTGGGAAATTCAACAGATTTATTATTATAATTGAGGTGGGGATCACAAGCCAGAACTGAGTTATGGATTGGAATTGTCTCTTTCCTGCTATACTGCACCATTTGAAAAGCGGTAGAGGGCATGGATGATAATCTAGTCTTTAACCAAACAGTTCTTGACCTGTCAGGAAGAGTGATTATGGGTAATTCAAACAGATAGTTCTACTGGTGGTTTGAAATGAGGCCTGATTCTTGTATATCTGTAGTTTAAGGAAAAAGTTTTAGAAGTGAACAATAAACTTGAATGATCCTAGATGCTTTTTTGTCAATCCCAAATGACAAAATATAGGCATGTGGACAACATAATACAAGAGGAAAAGGCATGCATGAAAGAATGACTTAACTGTTCAATTTCTTTACGGTATCGTTCTTCTTCCTCAGCAGCCTTCTGTGCAATCTCCATTTTCCGCCTAGAAATATATACCCCAAATAAAACTAATGAATGATACAATGTATAAAGTCACAATTTGTAGACCGCTTGTTCTACTGTTTGATGGATCATAACATTATACCCTGAAATAGATAGCTATATAAGAAATGCAACACTTATCTACCTACTAAGAAGCTTAAGCTTTATTCCTTCTTATTCTTTCTGATTAACAAAGATGAGTAACTAGTAGGATTGATAAACATTTGAACTTGGGCATTATTTACCAACATCCTTTCATGATTTGAAAGTCATTGAAGGTGAACTATGGAAGCCTAATGTTTAAGGTGGCTATTTTGAGGCTATTTCCTGGCCTTTTCAACAGGTTTGAGCATGAACAGAAGACATTTCTTCTGAGGCTGTCTCAAATTATTAAAAAATGCTCACTTTGTTTTAATGTCCCACTCAGTTGCTATTCCAGGAGTTCAATATTTAATGTACCATTTGTTAGTTCTTAGTTGTGTAATGATCTCAGTGCTTTTCTTTGTGTTAGATTAATAGGAAAGACAGAATTATTTACAAATATAATTTCAGTTTATTTCTTTATTTTTTGCAATGCATATGGTAGTAGATTCCAAAAAAGCTTTCCTGGTTTTGTCATGCTTCTCTTCAAGAGTACTTATTGATAAAAGGTGACCATGACATATATTGCATTCTGACAAATAGTGAGTTAAATTTCTGAACCGGTCAACATTTCATTTCATTAAAGGTGGATAAGCATGTAATTTAATGGCACAGAAAGAACATGTTATTGCACCATTTTGAATGCCCTATCTTCTTAAATCAGAATTCTACTTCTGCTATCAATATAATATGTTCTGAATAATGAAATGTAACTTTATTTATTGATCTTTCACTGGTTAATTCCACATTACTTTTAGGCTCTTCTGGCAGCAGCATCCATCCATTATAATGGCTATATATCAGTACAGAAGATAGAAGATTTATAATAGCTGCTGTAACTATAAGATATTATAAATCCCTAGTGTGGAAAGTCAGAAAACAGATAACATCATTCTCTTTTATTAATAATCATCCACTCTTGATTAGTATTTATAGTTTTGCCTTTTGACAAGAGTTCTTATATTCAAAATTAGGCTTCATATCTAAGAAACAGTAATGTTAAAGTAGTATCATGCTATATGCTCACTGAAAAGCTCTGAAGCTTTCAGAAAAGAAATCAAATTAACTAAATTTTGATGGTTACATGAATCAACAGTTACACATTACGGCAATTCATAAATTCATGAGACCCCCTTCTGTCCCAAACTCTTACATTTTTTCTTTTTCTTGCTGTTCTTTCAGGATTTTGTTGGTTTCCAGGGCAAGCCACTTCTGACGCATTAATTCTTGCCGCTCCATCTCACGGTTATATTCTTCCCTTTGCCTCTCTTCATCAGTCATAAACAGCTCCTTGCCCTAAATATTCATTTTAAATTCCAGTTAATCAACTTAAGTCAGTCAATCATCATAGTAATTAACTTGAATTTTGCAATATTTTCTTCAGGTAGAACCAAATGTTCTCTACAAAACTTAAAGACCAATGCTACCTTGTTTTTTCTATTTTGGGAATAAACAAACAAAATTTAAATTTGGGAATTTTGATAGAACAGAAATAATTTTAAAGAAATAGCTGTAACAAATGTAAAAAGGAAAACACTGCATGTTAGGCTGTAGTTATCTGAATTCTGTTCTTATTTTTAATGTATGCCATTTGTGCCTAGAATGACCCTATGTACTGTATTTTGGGATCTCATTTGTAGAAATTTGCCTTTGAGAACCTTGAAATCCATTTTAAATCTATTTTAGAAACATGAATATCTCATAAATTTAAACCTGTATGCCTTTTCATTTTAGCACTGTTTACTGTGGTTGATTACCTTTGAGTTATATTCTCACTTCTATTTTCTTGTAACTGTATATTTTTACACTGAAGGGTGTGAACACGGCAGCAGAGATGTTATACACAGCAGTCTCTGTGGCTGAGCAGTGATCCAAAACAAATGTGAATGTATGTCTAGAATTAGAACAGGCACAATGTTGTCTGGTTCGCTTTTATCATTTTGAAACGGATGATAAATTGTAGCAGAGTCTGTTCAATTACATCAAGCATTCTCCTTGCATTGCATTGCATTGTCCCTAGACTGAGTTTCTGCTACAATTTATCATGTTTCAAAATGGTAAAAGCACACCAAACAACAGTGTGCCTATCATAATTCTAGAAATGCATAACAAAATAAAATCAGCAAAGAAAATAATATTGAATTGGCAAAGATGATTGAAGGTAATATTATGATGTTTATAGCTTAGCCAGTCTATAATCCTATATCAATTTAGCCTTCCTATAAGCCTCCTTACATTTAATAAGACTTACTTTTAAGTAGATACATACACATTTGTAATGTTAAATTACTTAAGCCAAGGTAAAATCATCTTGGATTTTAACTATATGAACTTGGAAGTTAGGGAGTATCTTCCATCCATTTTCTGCTTTGGAGGATCCCAGGATATGTGTTTTGTGTGTGTTTCATTTCTTACTGTGTAGACAGCAGCCTTTTGACTTTTCACAAGTCTTTTGTTGATTGCTGCGACATTAATACTTACAGCTCCAGTTACAACAGTGATTGTCAGGGTTTGACTGCTTTTCAACACTTTCACAGCCTGGGAGGGGGGGAAGGAAGGCGATGACAGAAAAATCAAACTGTAAAATCTAAATATTGTAAAAGTGCATAGTTTCTACAGGACTAACAATGCAGTTAGAATAGCTTTTTATTCTTCTCAGTATAGTATTTTTTCAGTTATTATTCTAGAAAATAGCAGAACCTAATTCTAATTCCAGTCATTTGTCATAAATTGAACATTTTTTTTCAAGCAACAATTTTTCAAACAACTACTTTAGGAACTTCTAACAAAAAATAAAATTTTGTTATTTTTAACCACCTAGAGATGGTTTTTCAGTTTGGAAATGAGGATCAAGTTTTATGCAATTTTGTGCAGAATATAAAGAGAGTAATTCCCAAGTAAATATGTTAGGATTGCAAGTGTGTAGAACTTTTGACAAAGCTGACATGTCTTTTTTAAAAAATAAAATAAATTAAAATCAATTTCTCTAGTTCAAAATTTTTAGCTACTTTTTATCAGATAAAATTCTAAATGATAGCTATAGTGATATGGCAATCAATGGGCTTGAATCAATCATTTGTATATATAAATATTATTCAAAAGAACATTTAATAATTTATTTATATGTCACCCGACTCCCAGTTACCCTGAACAGTTTACAATGGTTAAAACATTTTAAAAACAAAGAACAATATAGAAATATCAGGCTCAGAAATGATACAGAGAAATCAACTGAGTTCAACCCTTTACTTGCTTGCAGCTAAGCGACAGAATCTTGCCAAACTAAAGTTATAACCTTCTAATCTACTAGACATATTAATCTAGCTAAGAAATACTAAGTATGGCTATCGTAAACCTCTTCCCACTCTTTCTCCAGCTCGGGACTGTGCATTCTCTTAATCTGGGCCTCACTCTGGGAACCTTCTGCATTACAAAAACTCTCCCCCATTGTTCCTGTAGGTGCATGTTCCATTACACATAAAATAGCCCAAGATCAAGGGACATCAAAGTCAGAGGGCAACAGAAACAAACATCACCTCCAAAGGCCTGAGTGAAGGTCTTTTAGGCACTTTGAAATCCTATTGGGTGGAAGCTGCTTGAATGTGAGGGAATTACATGCCCCCAGAAGGCAGCTACTGCTACAGAGAAGGTGAGCTTACAGAGTCCTGATAGCTGCCAGATTTAAATGGTTAGGCAAATACAATGGGAAACAAGAACAGTTCCTCAAGTAACCAGGTCCTATGCCATGTAGGGTCACTTGGGTTTTAATTACCTCCTTATGATCCACATTTGAGAAGTCCGTACCATTTACTTCAACAATCTGATCACCAACCTAAAAAACAATCAACAAAAGTGCTGAATATTTTTTGTACTCTTCTAAGTATAGTAAATGGTGATCCATTCCTTGCTTTGGAAAACTCTTGAAATAAGACAGATCCTTAAAGCTGTACTCTTCACTGTCCTTTCTCCCATTAAAACAAATATGTGCATGCGCGGATGCACATACCCACATAGTTTTCATGCAGGAAGGTTAATACTGGAACAGTCAGCTTCCCATGAGCTACCTAATTTATCTTTGATTATCTTATTCAGTATCACAGTTCAGTATTTAAGAGATGAACACGGCAGAATTTTCTGTTCAATGAAATCTGATAATAGATCTCCTTACTTTCAAATTGTGGTGTTGGAGAAAACTCTTGAGAGTCCCTTGGACTGCACAGAGATCAAATCAGTCAATCCTAATCAATCCTGACTGTCCTTTGGAAGGACAGACACTGAAGCTGAAGCTCAAATACTTTGGCCACCAAACGAGAGCAGAGGATTCACTGGAAAAGACCCTGATGTTGAAAAAGACTGAAGGCAAAAGGACAAGGGGACAACAGAGGATGAGGTGGTTAGTATCAGTGACACACTGAATATGAATTTGGGCAAATTCTGGAAGATAGTGGAAAACAGGTGGCCTGGCATGCTATGGTCCATATTGTTCAGACTTAGCGACTGGACAACAACAACAACAAAACAGATTTCCTCCTTTGAGCTTGGAAAAATGTGATTTCCTGCATTTGCTTGCATTGGGAAATGGGGGGGGGGAATTTGAGACCTTTTCCTCCTCCTTTCTCTTCTTCTCCCGAGTTGTTTGCAGTTTGTCTGCAGAGCATTAGAAACTTGAAAGTTCTGAAATCATACAGCTCCAGGAAAGGTAACTGAATTACTTGATCTAAGCCATGAGATTAGATCATTTCAGAGCAACAAGATAGATGTATAAATTGTCAGAATTTTTTAAAGCTGCTCATTGTTTTACTTTAATTTCTGGGACACGTGACTGAATCCTCCTCTACCCTTGTTTATTTAATTAATTGATAATCTGTATTTACGCTAACAAATAACCCTCAACATGACCAACAATAATAATATAAAATATATTACATTCACCTGCAGGTTAAAAATCAATTTCCACAAACCAAACTTTTTATGATTAGAGAATAACCGTTAGAAATGCTTCCAAATTAAACATTTCCACACAATTAGATTTTTTTATAGTTTATATTTACCTCCAACCCCACTTCAGCAGACAAAGAATTTGGTTTAACATTGCTTATGAAAATGCCAGGCTTTTGTGTAGGACCACTGGAAATACTGGAACAAAACATGAAAGAAATAAAATTACTAATTAATGGAAATCATATCAAGAATAGATTAATCACATTCCCCTCTCCCCATTCTTTATATATACCAAATTTAATCTGGTAGGTTGGGGATTTTTCTGAGCAAGGATAAGAAAGCAAAACAAGGTTTATTACAATAAAATGAACTTTTATTACAATGATATTTGTATGTTAAACAAGGACTACATCACACAAATAGTTTGGATCTATGAAAAGGACAAATACATTTAGTGAAGAGAGTTAAAGTGTTCTAATCCAGATGAAAAGAAAACTACTTTTACAATCAAGTGACTCTTTTAACTCTTTTTAAGTCACATATCAGCAATTAATAAAAATGTCCACAATGATTCACATGGGTCAAAGGCCAAAGAACTGAGATGCCAATCCAGAAGGCAAACATGATATTTGTAGTTTATCTCTGCTCTGGGGCTTAATAATTTGTACTAGCATTTTGAACAATAAAAATGCCAAAATTATACTTAATACTTAATCATCCTTTTAATACTTAATGATTTACAGTATATGTGAAAGCAAATGTTTAACAGGGCTGTGCAGCACTTCATAGTCTGATCCCAAAAAATGTTTTGAAGTACTAGACCAGGGTGTCAAACTGCTGGCTCGCAGGCCGGTTGCATCATGCAGAGGCCATGCCCACACCAGCTCCAGCAATGCAAAAAAAGTTGTGATACGTCGCGACACGTCACGTGACGTGGTGAGTTTGACACCCATGTACTAGACCAGAGGTCCCCAACCTTTTGGGCACCAGGGACCGGTTCCGTGGAGAGAGGTTTTTCCGTGGACCAGAGGGGGGGTGTTTTTGTGTGCTGCCTGCATCCCGCAGATGGGGCTTTGTTTGTTTGTGCGGCCCGGTTGTTGGTATGCTGCGGCCCGGTACCGGTCCATGAACCATGGGTTGGGGACCCCTGTACTAGACTATGAACCCAGAAACCTCCTGTAACTCTCTGCTTCTTTTCACAGAGCCACTTCAAAGCATCTTTTTGGAATCAAATCCAAAGCTCTGCACAACTATCAAGTTTAATTGAAATTAATTGAAATTAAAGGCTCATTCCCACTAACTACATTTTCTTGGAGAAACAAGTAACAAGAAAACACTGTAGCTCACCTGCAACCCATGCCCTTTGTACCAATTAGGCTAATGAAAACTTTCTTTTCTTTATGATGTTTTCCTCCAGATGACGCAAGACCTGCAACGCTGTTTTGGCCATCCTAGGATAAGAGGAGAACAGGCTTTCTGAAACTGCAATATATTGGCTGCTATTAATTAAATAGAGAAGTTATCCCACGGCCTTCCTCTCCCAATTCAAATGGAATCTAAGTCTGCAGTCTAAGATGAAACACAAGATCTAGTAGTTGATCTGCTTGCACATATTGGAAAAATTAGGCCTGAGATTAGGAGAATGGGGCAGTTGTCTAAGAAGATAGCACAGGGAGGCAGCAATAACAACTCTATATCTGTTCACCTCTCCTGGAGAACCGATAACGTGCTCCAGATAATCTTCTTTGTATTAGAAGGGGAAGTTCCTATCCCATCTTCTGCCCTGAATCTAGATTCAGCTGCAGCCAAATTGATATGAGGGGCAGATTATTTTACCTCAGTCATCAAAATACCTTAAATCGAGCATATATATATATTTTGCATTATCTCATATGCTAAATAAATTCAAATCCTAAAGCACCTCTCTTAATGGAACTGAATTAAGCATTTATAAAATGGAGAAATCAGAAGATTTGGGAGGATCTCTTTTTTTTTTAAAAAAAAAAAAAGAGAAAACAATAGGGGGAAAACTATTAAAAAAAAAAACCTCTAGGGAGAGCTGAGACTACTCTCAGGGAGGATGGAATGCTACCTGGGATGGGGCTGGGGGGTATGGGAAAAAAACACAACTATGAATGGAATTTGCAATGGAGTAAGTGGAGTAAAGAAAAGCTGATTAAGGCCATTCAGCAGAGCATAATTTGCTGAAGCTCCCATATATTACATCAACAACAATATGATGTGACATGAGGTTCCTCAGATTTGCATGGTTGTTTCTCATTCAATGCCATTATAAGCTATCAAATTAATTCTACAGTCTTAAGCTTTCTAAATCTCAATAGTGGCTAGGTTAAGCATTTTGGAAGCATCTTCGAAAACAAAACAAAACACAAGTTAATACATATTGCCATAGGTATAATTGCTTCCACAAAAATGATATAATTATTATTTGATATAACCTGTAAACGTGAATGTTGAATACTCTAAACCGGGGGTTCCCAACCCCCAGTCCGTGGACCAGCACTGGGCCGTGGCATGCCAGCAACCGGGTCGCACAAACAAGTGGAGCCCCATCCGCGGGATGCAGGCAGCACATGAAACCATGTCCCCTCTGGTCCACAGAAAAATCTTTCTCCATAGAACCAGTCCATGGTGCCCAAAAGGTTGGGGGCTTCGGCTCTAAACTGCTTTATTCTGTTCCATCCTATCACTTTAACTGTGTTATCAATCCTCTGAGAAATAGTCAGCTTTGCAAGCCCACTGCCAATCTCAGTTCTCATCAGGTTATGTTTGTGGGAAGGATGAATTTTAAGGGTTTCTACTGCCCAATCTTCATTTTAGTGTGCAATTTAGCTTATAAAGCTGAATTTAGCAGAGGTTTCTTTCTTTCTCTCCTTCTCTCTATTATACAATGTTTATCGCATGTTATTCTCAGAACACATTACAGTGAGAGAGACTGGTTGGTCAAAAATTACTTTAAAGCCACATCTTCCCATTCAGACTTTTAGCCATTATATCCAATTTGCTTTTCAAAAGACCATTTAATTTTGGGAGGCTATTTAGCAAGCATTTTCTTCAGCCAGTTCCAAGTTCTCCAACCTGGGCACCCTTCAGATATTTGACCTTTAAGTCATATAGAGGTTGAAGTCCACATACTTGGATGGCATCCAGATTTGAATGGCTACAACAGACTAGGCAACAAACTAGTCACTTAGCAACAGACAGGCTATCTTTACAGCTTTCATCCCAATTAGTTATTCTTGTAATACCCTCATGGTTTTAAAACATCAAGGGATAGTTACAGAATTTTCATTGCCCCTCCTAGTATTTTAACCATGTAGACTTCCATATGGGGGAAGGCACTGTCTATTTTTATGAACCTGTTAAGGGTAACATCAAAAAGGTAAGCTGTCACTCAGTAAAAATATAGGTATCTATCTGCCTCATCCCAAATAACCCAGCAGTTTCCAGGCACTTTTGAGATCAACTTTAATCAGTCCCAATCAGTGAGTCCAGTGACAAGGAACATGAGTGCAGAGCATCTGTAATGAGGACAGATCTTTTAAAAAGAATTTTAAGACCACAAGATGTAATTTGTGATAGCTGAAGGGGCACCTTACCCCAGGGTCAGATACAAACTGATCTACATACTGCCACTTGAGAGGCTCATCTGGGGAACTAAAAGAAAAGATATGCAGAGGAAAAAGATATGAGACTGATATGTATCAAAAACAAATCAATGCCTACTAGGTAACTTACTACTTATCTCTGATATCTGTACTACAACATGTATAAAGCTATGCAGTTTTTAGTTTTTTGTAGGTAAACATTTTTTTAACAAACTGAAAAATACAACTGAAAATTACTACAGAATGTATGATCTATACCAGGAATGTCAAACTCGCAACGTCACGTGACGTGTCGCGATGTATCGCAACTTTTTTCCATTGCCGGCAATGGGGTGGGTGCAGTTTCGCCACGACGCATCCGGCCCGCGTGCCAGCAGTTTGACACCCCTGATCTATACTGTACACAAAAGATATGTTTTCATAAAAAAGCTTTACCTTTTGACAGGTATCATCCCAACATCTGCAATGAAATAATATTTAAAGGTGATTAACAAAATGTTCAGATTTATCTTATCTAATTCACATAAAATTATGGCGAGTATTTCACATATCAGTTTGATCTAGTGGTTAAGGCACCAGGCTAGAAACCAGGAGACTATGAGTTCTAGTTCTGCGCTAGCCATGAAATCTGGCTAGCTGACTCTCCCTCAGCCCAATCCACCTCACAGGGTTGTTGTGGGGAAAAATAGGAGGAAGAATGTGTATTAGGTATGTTTGGTGCTTTCAGTTATCTATAAAGTAATAAAGGTGGGATAAAAGATCTCAAAGCAATGGTGTACTTACGTCGCACTTTTATAGATACTGTTTTCTTTGTGCGTATAAGATTGATGACTTCTTCATGAGTGCATGAAGAAATGGAGTAACCATTTATTCGAACGATCTCATCTCCAACCTTAAATAAAAAGCAACCAACCAATCAAAACCCAATCGCATATTTCAGCAGAAATATACAGTTGCAAATCAACACTGGAAAGAAGTTGCTTCTGGTAGAGAGGGAGACACTTTCCTTTATGAAATGGATAGAATGCATAAGAAAAAAATGGCAAGCCGCATAAAGTCCCTTAAACATTTCGTACCTGACTATGTTTGCTGAGGAATAAATAACTGGCTCTACAAGCCTAACCTTTATTCAATTTCTTTACAGTACATTGGCTGGATCCTGGATGTAAATGGATTTTTCAGAACATAAAATGGCTGTCACAGAAGGGCCTACTTTTCTCAATATGTCTGCCATGGTGCTTGTGCCTTATAAGTTATCTAACTTTTTATTACTTTTGTTACCATACAAAACATGAAGGCAACATGAAGATTAGAGTCAGGGAAGAAATTCCTAATCCTTGGAAAAAGTGAACACTATCAATTAGATACTATTACTGGTAACTCAATTATGATTTTACAAAATCTAAAAGGTGCTGTTACTGACAGATGTTGCTGGTGAAATGATATCTACCAGGTCATAAATGAATGTGACTGAATGAATAAAGTTGGTAAATACATTTATTTACTAACACACACTGAGCTGAGCTTACTCATGGACAATTCCATAGGAAGGTACTAATTCCATCTTATCTCTTCCAGCTCCTCTTCTCCCACCACCATACCACTAGCCAAATTTATTCAGAAGAATACTATGGGTGATAGACCAAGGATTGTAAGTATAAATCAATGAAAGTCATCAATCCCACTTTTCTATGTACTGACTGCATCAAATGGCTTCCATAAATGGAAGATGTTCTTCTATTGCAGAAGGATAACTCTAGAACCCTGCCACAAGGTCATAAATTTAATTATAATATAAGTTTAACCCTAACTCTAACTCTAACCATTTTTTTCTGAAGCAGTAATATTTTTCTAGGAAAAAAAACATTGTCTTTCTCTAGAAAATGGTGAACAGTCCTCTCAACACAGCATTTCCAAGAAAAGTGGACCCTACTGCATGGAGACAATCTACAACTGCACAACCCATCCCTTTACGTTAATGAATAACTACATAATAGTCACAGATTGCAAGGTAGCATGTATGATCCAGTGATTTCCGGCTGCTGGGGAAAAGCTTCTGAAGAGTGGACCTTTGCCTTGGCATTCCATGCAGTAAAAAGTTGGGACCTCTTCTCCCATACATTAGTTGGGATCTCTTCTCCCATACGTTGATACAATGAATTTGCAATGAATACAACTATAAAAACTTTTCATTATTTTGGGCAGCACATGGAACTTCACATGAAAGCTGTGATGCAGCTGACTTAGGAACGTGAATTATACAGAGTAATTTTTGAAAATTATCCTGATATATGTAATGTAACTATTTCCTCTGCCTCTGCAAATATCATTTCTCCATGCCCACTTTTATCTGAGGAAACAATTATTAGTCCCTTTTAATTTATTTGTTCCTCTTCCCTCTTATATGACTTTCTTATCACCCTTAGTCTTACTATAGCCATTTTTTTCTACCAATGAGGCTGAAAACCAGTAATTTTCAAAGCTCGAAACCTACCTCACAAGGATTGCAATAGTTTTGCATCAGAACTAGCATACATATTATTTAGAGTTGCTTATTTATAAAACCCTGACATGCTTGTGCTTGGAAATAAACTGAAACACAAGTAATTGTGCAAATATCAATAAAATTGGGGAAGGTTACAAAGTGCAAAAGGAAATGAGAAAAAAGGAGATCATCGGTAGAAAATCCCTATAGGTTTTACAAATTCGACATTTGATTTAGTCTTATTTCATAGCTTGGCAAATGCACTATTGTATAATAGGTCTTCTCTTACTATATATTCTCTCAGGCATGACTCTGTTACAGTTATGCAACTGATAATTTGGAAGACTTTTCTTCTTGTTGATTACTTATTTATTCATGTTATACAGTTATTTAAGCCCAAAGGGATCTGCTAGAATGAATTAGATAGCAACTATGAAGGGCATAGAATGTTTTAGTTTAGATTCAAAGCATTATTTGTGGACCAGGCTGAAATAATGGAATGAACAATTGGCTCCATAAACGTTACAATGATATGATTGCTCCATCTACTGGGCAAAATCCTTCTAAGCTCCCACTCCACACTTCGACAACTCTTTTTCATGGCTATAAGCCTCTTCCCCCTACCCCCATCCCCTCTTCTTTTAAGCACAAATCTCTAATAGGGAAATGTGAGGCTGTTATTAATTAATTAGTTTTAAACAGAATTGTAAGCTGCCCAAATTCACTTGGATTAATTCAGATTCAACTGAATTAATAAATAAATAAATAAGACAATGATGTAAGGCAGAGCACAACAAAGACTGTACTAGCAATAGCAATAACATTTAGATTTATATACTGCTTCATAGTACTTTACAGCCATCTCTAAGCAATTTACAGAATCAGCATATTGCCCCCAACAATTTGGGTCCTCATTTTATTGACCTTGGAAGGATGGAAGGCTGAGTCAACCTTGAGCCAGTCAGAATTGAACTACCGGCTGTGGACAGAATTAGCCTGCAATACTGCATTCTAACTACTGTGCCACCACAGCTTTTCCCTGAAGATCCTTGGCCATTCCTGACATTCCCCCAATGTGCCTTCAAAGCAGTCTGCTTCCCCTAAAGCAATGGTTAGCGACAATACGTAGAGCTTTCTATCTTTATCCATGGAGAACTGCAATTGTCAGTCACTATTAGCCAGAAAGTAATAATTAATTTCTATTTAGAATTTATCAAATACTTCCAAAATATAATGCAATGCTCCCTGTATCTTTGGGGTGATGGCAACTTTATAGGTCATCTGTTGAACAATACTGCTGGTGAGAAGAAAAATGAGAGCATCATATTGCTTCTATTTATTAGTAAAAGTACAAAATATTTTTGAATTGTACACAGGAAACAGAATGCTCTCTAAAGTAGTCACAATTTAAAAGATAAACAAATCAACTTGCCATTCTTCAGACCTCAGACTTATTCCTATAGTGAAATTCAACCTGCAGCTTCTTTAGTTTTGAATCTTCATTCCATAAATGTATTCCCCTGAACTACAGCAAGAATTCCTGCTGAATTCTCACTTCCACCATGAGCAAAGAAATAGGATGGTACTTCCCATATTAATGAGGGAACTGCCAGCAGAACTGGGTCAGCCTTAATCCTATTCCTATGTAGAGTATTTATCCAAACTGAACCTTCTTATAAGATTTGAACAACCAATAGATTGGTTGTTAATTAATTGTACTCCCTCATTTAAAAATTTGGAAATGATAAATATTAAATGTTTAATTTAAATATCAACGCAAAATTAAAGCTGGGAAAATTCATAAGGTTATTGATGGTCCAAAAGATGGAATGTTAAAATAAATAAGACATATAAAAGTATTGATAAATGTAAGAAAGCTATTAAGTAGCTGATGGATAGAATAAGACGTATACTAATTTAAACAAGAGACAGTATGTATTAAGGGAAAAAAGAGAGGAAATATTGGCTGTAATAGTTGGAGACTTGTATTAATAATACTTGCATGTAATGGAATTATTGTAACTCAGATACCACGTTGCTTTTCAAAAATATAATTGTAACATTGGAAAATTAATAAAAAGTTTAAAAAATAATAATTTTGCTCCCATATTCGCAGAAACATTTGACTTTCCATGGCTGATCTTAAAAAAAGCTAATGTTCTTCACAATTAGTACTTGGATAGAAAACCACTAGAGAATCCCAAATTTGCAGAAATAGAAAACAGCAAACTTTCCCACATTGTCCATATTGGCATTAAGAGTTAAGTTTTTCTTGAAGGAGTCCTCATCTTTTTATACCTTTCACAGCATAGCACAATAGTTTTTAAGTTTGTAAAATATTAATCACAAATATTCTAATATTTTCTAGAATGCCATTGCACGTGGTGCAGCAGTGGTTAGAATGCAACACTGCAGGCTAATTCTGCTGACTGTCGGCTGTTAGAAGTTTGGCAGTTCAATTCTCACCGGGTCACTGTTGAATCAGCCTTCCATCCTTCCAAGGTCAGTGAAATGAGGACCCAGATTGTTGGGGGCAATGTGGTGACTCTGTAAATTGCTTAGAGAGGGCTCTAAAGCATTGTGACCATGTACATAAGTCTAAGTGCTAATGCTATTGCTATCATTACCATGAAAGAAACAATGAACAACCTTAGTTCTCAGGTGTTTTAGAATGAAGGGAATTATTAAAGTAGAACATGCCTTCTTTATGTACAAAATTCTATGTCCAAGGAAATACTTTTAGGAAATATTTTATGTCTTGCATTTTCAGCATGTATTAATACTTGTGTTATTGCTGAAGAACTATGGAGCTAAAAGACAAGTATCAAACAGAAAACGCTTTGTTTTCACTTTTGCAAACAGTCCCTTTACTAGCTGGACTATAGGAAGCAGAACTGTGGTGGTTTCAAATTTTCTATTTTCTCATTTTGCTGTACTTCTATTATCCATAATAACATCCCGCTCCTTTTAGCCCACAAAATCCTCAGAGATATTTGTATCCGGGAAGAATAGCTAGAAGAATTTTTGAAAAGGTAAATTGCATGAAAAGGCTAAACACTATCTATTCAGGAAAAAAATGAAGAAATCACAGGAAAATAGGTCAGAGCTAGAAATGTTTCTCAGTTACAGATACATATGAGGGTAGTTTTAGTGGTATAGAATACTTTTAATTTCTCATAGATGAATCAAAATGATATGGAAAAAAGGAGAAGAAACTGATATCTTCTATTCATTACTTTTCTCAGACCACATTTTTTCCAGCTTAGAAAATGTGTGGAGATTTAATGAAATAATGCAGATGGATGAAATTTCAGAAGCATTTGGCATTATCATGAGACAGCAATTTAGGACAATGGACCGCCTGTCAACTTCTCTTATTTACTTGTTTTCAGAAAGTTTCAGAGAGTGTCCCTCAGAGATTATTACGAACACAGTTTATGTTAATACTTAACATCACGTATCAACAGAGTATAAGGTCAGCAGCTACGTTTGCTGCAGATTCCTAACAGCTTTTTAGAAATTTTTGATTATAATACAAGGAAAAATTAATATTTGTTAACATGCTTTCTATTTAAACATGGACTTGTTCTTTTTGTGTGTTTTTTTTTTGTCTTTTCTTGAGTTAGCTTATGAGTTAATATATAATACTCAGGGTTTTCTAAACCATTTATAACATAAATGTGCATACATTTATAAGCCATTGCTTTCATATTATAAACAACACTTGGGTATGCTTCTCCTTCCCTCTTTGTGTAATAGAAAGTCAAATTATTTCCCAGCATATATAGAAGATATTCAAGGAGATATAAAGTTGCAAGTATAAATGGTAACTTTAGTATCTGCCAGCTTGACATGATTAACATAACCAAAGGCTGTTTTATAATCATTGATATACATATTGACTTCTTTTTGTTACTGTTTGGCTTTCTCAATTATTTAGCACTAGCAATATTGTGTCTTGTTCCTCGGCCTTTATTAGGGGCTCTAATCTTAGATAACCATTAATCTTATTTTGCTAGCATGTGAAATTAAAGATATTGTATGATAGTAGTACCCAATTTAAGTATCCATTCTTTTTTATTGGTATGTAGAGTGATCTCTTCCAATTTGTTGGCCACTGTGTCATTCTCCAGATTTTCTGGCCCAGTTTGATTACAATCTTTACAATTTTTTCTTGTGATAAGGATTTTTTCTTCCTAAAATGCATTTTGGTTATGGTACTTGCAAGACTTTTAGCTATATACATTTTTTTCCTCACCTGAAGTCCAACATTGTCTGCTTGTCCTCCTTTTATTAGCTGTGAAATAAACAGGCCACAAGCAAATTCAGCACCTCCTCGCACACTAATTCCAAGACCTTCAGGATGCAGACGATCCAATCTCACTTCCTTCAGTTTCCTGTAAAAGTCGTAATAACAAACTGGCAACTCAAATAATTTACAGTTGCAACATAAAAGTTCCTATAAATCAATCACATCTATCTTTTCTTTGTAATTAGTTTCTATGCTTTCAAAGAGTATGGGATATATGAGTCAAATTTCATTACTCAGGCTTTCAATTTATTTTATTTTAGTATTTTTGGGGATTTCTATGCTAGTCCAATCTGATTAATTTGTGGTACGGATACAGAAAGAGTTATCAACAACTGTTTCAGCTCTTGTGCTGCTAGAGAAATTTTTTTATTTAGCATACATGTATATTGCAAAATATACTTTCTTCTTCATGTTCATTAACCTTTGGCCATTGATTTCATTATTGGATCATATGTAAAAAGCACACATTTCCCAATGTGGTCTAGTCATTGCTCTTCACCAGCTCTCTAAAGACAAAACACATTTCATTTAACTGGATTTTTCTAAGGGAAGGGGAATAGATTTGAAGGAGGAAAATTCCTTGGTTGAGTTGTTAATGCGTTTTTATAATAATAATGATAAAGTTGGAAGGGACCTTGGAGGTCATCTAGTCCAACCCCCTGCTCAGGCAGGAAACCCTATACCATTTCGGACAAATGGCTGTCCAGTCTCTTCTTAAAAACTTCCAGTGTTGGAGCATTCACCGCTTCTGGAGGTAGGTTGTTCCACTGGTTAATTTTATTAACAATCAGGAAATTTCTCCTTGGTTCCAGCTTGCTTCTCTCCTTGATTAGTTTCCATCCATTGCTTCTTGTCCTACCTTTAGGTGCTTTGGAGAATAGCTTGACTCCCTCTTCTTTGTGGCAGCCCCTGAGATATTGGAACACTGCTATCATGTCCCCCCCTCGTCCTTCTCTTCATTAAACTAGACATACCCAATTCCAGCAGCCGTTCCTTATATGTTTTAGCCTCCAGTCCCCTAATCATCTTATTTTTCCATAATAGGAGCTTAGTGATAAGAATTTCAGCCTCAGTATGGATGTTGGTACATTTTAACCTGATGATGTTTTGCAATTTTTTGTGAAGTAAATAGTTAGCACTGGGAAGAGGAAGCTGGATCTGTCACATTTTATGATCAGGAAAAGAGAAAAAGGAAAGGTCCTCTCAGTGATTCTATACTTCATAAATAATTAGTTATTTATAAAAATAACTAATAAAAATAATTAGTTATTTGAAAATAACCAATATAAAAATAATAATGAAATAACTAATAACTAAAATAAAAACTAATTCATTATTTGAAAAATGTGCTTTGATATTAAATGAAGTTATGCAGAACACTGTTGAGAATGACCATATATACAGTATGCTCTGAGTTTTTATATAATAATTAGCTTTCATAAGATTTTCCCCCACATACCAAGATATTGTTCAAACTTACCTTGTTCGTTTAGGTGTCAACTGATCATATTCCACTTGGTGTTTTAATGGGATAAGAGGACAAATGGCCTCAAACAATGGTAGTCGACTTGGTTCATTGATTACGTACTTCAGATCACCAACCAACACTGGAAGATTCATCGATCTACAGAATTTGGGAAAGTTGTGTTAGTCTGTTGTAATAAAGAGCTTCCCCTATGGACTTACAACAAATGATAAAATGTCAAAGCAGGTTATTACTTCTTCTAATAACATTTGATACTTGGAAAAAGGGCTGCCAGTCTCCTCCTGATCTTTGGATCATCAGAATGAAATTGTGGAAAGTCTGCAAGACTAGTAGAGTATAGAGAAGTACTATGAATGACATTGGTGTAAAATTTAATTACTGTGTATATCTGTTTCCATATTTCATGCCTTTTGCTTAGTAGTTAGTACTTCTTACTCCTTTTCTGCACCTTGCACAACTGCTTACTCAAAGAGAAATTTATTTATT